CCACTGGCCCCCCCCCACTTCCCTTTTCCCCTTTTTCCCCCAATTTTTTGGGGGCCCAAGAATCCCCCTCAAACAAAAATTTGAGCAATTTAACCCAATGAGGCCAGCCTACCCGGAAGTTTCGGGGGGGGGGTTCCGTAAAACCCCCCTTCCAAATCAACCGGGGGCCCCCCCCGAAGGGCTATCCGGGGTTAAAGGGGCAAACAGAGGGGGCCCCCCAATGACGGACCGGGGGGAATAACCCTTTTTCCCAGGACAAAAACCCCACGGAAAAAGAAAAGTTTCAAACCCCCAACCGACAGGTTGGGGCCCAACCTTTCACCTAAGGGGGGAAAAAGGGGGAACCAAAAAAAACCCCCCCCCCTTTTCGACACAAAACAACCGTCGGGCCGTATCCCCCCCTGGGACCAATCCCCCAAACCGGGGGCCCTCCAATTCTTGCCCAAATCAACCCCCATAAACTCCGCCCCAGGCCCAAAAATAGGGGGAAAGGAAAGGAAAAAAAAACAAAGGGAAAAACCCAAGCAACGAAAACGGGTTTTCATCCTTTTAGAAGGCCCGGGGGGGGGGGGGGGGCATCAAAAACTGGGGCCAGAGAATTAAAAACAGCTTCCCATTCAAAAGGCCTCAATTTTTAAAAAGGGCCATCACCGGGAGCACCCTTAAGGGAGGGGCTGGCCCCGTTGCCTAATTTGAAAATTCAAATTGGCCCCAACTTTAGAAATGGCAACAACTAGGCCACTTGAAAAAAATTTTTTCATCCCTCATCTTTTTTAAATTTAAAAATTTTGTTCTTCCAACTAAATTTTAAATGTATCTTTCAAATTTCCCCTCCACATTGCCTCGCACATATCTTTTTTTTATTTAAAACTTTTATTCCGTTTCTTTAAACCCTTGATTTTTGGTGTGTTAAAAGGGGTATTAAAACCTTTTTGGGAAAATTTTTAGATATTATTTTTTTAGATAAAACTGCCCCTTCGGGGCTAGAACACAAAACCCTTTCGCTAAAAAAAAACCCCCCCAATAAAAACATCTGCTAACCCCTGTATTTAACAAACATTTGATTTGATTTGATTTTGGGCTATGGGGGGGTTTTTGGGGTCATTTTCTACTACCCCGTCTGAAAGTTACTTCCTCAGCTATTTTGGTTTTGTTTGGGTCATTTTTCTACTAGTCCGGGCTGAACTTACTAAACCCAACTATTTGGGGTTTGTTTGGGGGCATTTTTTCTAATCCGTCTGAACGTTTTCTATCCTCAAACTAAATGGTTTTGTTAAGAAACATGTTTCACCTAAGGTTTAGTCTGAAACATTACTAAAACCTTAAACTATTTGGTGGTTTGGGGGATTCCCTTTTCAAATAGGGGGGGCAGTTTGGGCCTTTCTATCCTCAACTAGTGGGGTTTGTTGGGATCTGTTCTAAATACATTTTTCATTTTTTAAATCTTTGCAACCCTTATCCAGAGGACTTACATTTTGTAATACATATTTTTTTATAACCCTTTGGGCCCCCCTTTTGGGAAACGAACCCCCCCCCCCTTGGGGGTTTTCAAACCCCCATGCTCTTGATCAACTTAGCTACAACCCCCGGCCCTTCCCCCCCCCCCCCAAACCCCGGGCGACCTGGGCCCAATTTTGCCCGCCCATGGGATTCCCCCCGGTTTTGCGGCCCGGGCTGCACAAAACCTTTATTCGAAACCCAAACTCTATTTAAAACAGTTTGCACTGCAGGGAGTTTTTTTAGACCCCCTTCCCCCCCAGGGTTTCATCTGAAATATCCAGTCTGAACCTTTTACTATCCTCAAACTAGTTGGTTTTGTTAAACATGTTCTACTAGTCCAGGCTGAACATTTTCTAAACCCCCAGACTAGTTGGTTGTTTGGGGTAATTTTTCCCACATTCCAGTCTCCAAAATCCTCCTCAAGTGGGTTATTTTGGGGTCATGTTCCTTACTAGTCCATTTTGAACTTTTCTACCTCAGACTAGTGGGGTTTGTTTTTTATCATTTTTATTTCTTAAATTCCATCTGAACGTTTAAATATCCTCAGACTAGTGGGTTGTTTGGGGTCATTTTTTTTTCTAGTCCGTTGAACGTTCCCATCCTTTAGACACCCCAAGATTTTACGGTACAAAAGGGCCCCTCCCCTCGTCCCTTTGGGTTTGCTTTTAAGTTGTCCCGGTTCCCTTACAAAAAAAAAAACCCCCAAACCTAATTTTTTTTCCCCCCCCAATCCTTTTTTACGGGGGGGATGGTGTTCCCTTTGGGGGCAAGGCAAACATTCCTTTCCCCCCTCCCAAAACAAAGCAAATTGATTGATTCCAAAAGCTTTCCATTTTGGGGCCTCATCTGACCACAACACTTTCACCCAGTTTTCCTCTGAATCATTCAGATGTTCATTGGCAAAACTTCAGACGGGCCTATATATGTGCTTTCTTGAGCAGGGGGACCTTGCGGGCGCTGCAGGATTCAGTCCTTCACGGCGTAGTGTGTTACCAATTGTTTTCTTGGTGACTACGGTCCCAGCTGCCTTGAGATCATTGAAAGATCCTCCCGTGTAGTTCTGGGCTGATTCCTCACCGTTCTCATGATCATTGCAACTCCACGAGGTGAGATCTTGCATGGAGCCCCAGGCCGAGGGAGATTGACAGTTATTTTGTGTTTCTTCCATTTGCAAATAATCACACCAACTGTTGTCACCTTCTCACCAAGCTGCTTGGCGATGGTCTTGTAGCCCATTCCAGCCTTGTGTAGGTCTACAATCTTGTCCCTGACATCCTTGGAGAGCTCTTTGGTCTTGGCCATGGTGGAGAGTTTGGAATCTGATTGATTGATTGCTTCTATGGACAGGTGTCTTTTATACAGGTAACGAGCTGAGAATAGGAGCACTCCCTTTAAGAGTGTGCTCCTAATCTCAGCTCGTTACCTGTATAAAAGACACCTGGGAGCCAGAAATCTTTCTGATTGAGAGGGGGTCAAATACTTATTTCCCTCATTAAAATGCAAATCAATTTATAACATTTTTGACATGCGTTTTTCGTACCAAATCCTCAGGGGATCAAATACTTTTTTCCCTCACTTATGTACATAAGTACATTTTACGTATATTTTACATTAGTTATCTTGTTATTGTTATTTTTAGTCCCACCCTTCAGCTCCACTCAACCCCTCCCATCTATCTCTGAACACCATCCAGTTTTGAGTTCTATTTGCCATATATTTTCAACTGTGCTGTGATGTTTCACAAAACTTCTGAGCCTTTCTATTCTCATAGTTTCTACAGATTGTAAACTTAAGTTAAACAAAAAATTCTAAGAGCATTATTATATTATTGATCGATTGACTAGGACATTTCAAATCACCCAGCAGTGCTATTTGCAGAGTTAGCTCCAGGTAAATGTTGCAATTATTCAGCCATTCCTGAACCTGCGACCAAAAACAATCTAAACTCAGCAAAGAAAGAAATGTCCTCTCACTGTCAACTGTGTTTATTTTCAGAAAACTTAACATGTGTAAATATTTGTATGAACATAACAGGATTCAACAACTGAGACATAAACTGAACAAGTTCCACAGACATGTGACCAACAGAAATGGAATAATATGTCCCTGAACAAAGGGGGGGGTCAAAATCAAAAGTAACAGCCACTATCTGGTGTGGCCACCAGCTGCATTAAGTACTGCAGTGCATCTCCTCCTCATGGACTCCTCATGGACTGCACCAGATTTGCCAGTTCTTCTGTGAGATGTTACCCCACTCTTCCACCAAGGCACCTGCAAGTTCTCTGACATTTCTGGGGGGAATGGCCCTAGCCCTCACCCTCCGATCCAACAGGTCCCAGACGTGCTCAATGGGATTGAGATCCGGGCTCTTCGCTGGCCATGGCAGAACACTGACATTCCTGTGTTGCAGGAAATCACGCACAGAACGAGCAGTATGGCTGGTAGCATTGTCATGCTGGAGGTTCATGTCAGGATGAACCTGCAGGAAGGGTACCACATGAGGGAGGAGGATGTCTTCCCTGTAACGCACAGCGTTGAGATTGCCGGCAATGACAACAAGCTCAGTCCGATGATGCTGTGACACACCGCCCAAGACCATGACGCCCAAACATATGGAAGAAGGTACTCTGGTCAGATGAGACTAAAATTGATATTTTTGGCGATCAAGGAAAACGCTATGTCTGGTGCAAACCCAACACCTCTCATCACCCTGAGAACACCATCCCAACAGTGAAGCATGGTGGTGGCAGCATCATGCTGTGGGGATGTTTTTCATCAGCAGGGACTGGGAAACTGGTCAGAATTGAAAGAATGATGGATGGCGCTAAATACAGAGAAATCCTTGAGGGAAACCTGTTTCAGTCTTCCAGAGATTTGAGACTGGGACGGAGGTTCACCTTCTAGCAGGACAATGACCCTAAGTATACTGCTAAAGCAACACTTGAGAGGTTTAAAAGGAAACATTTAAATGTTTTGGAATGGCCTAGTCAAAGCCCAGACCTCAATCCAATTGAGAATCTGTGGTATGACTTAAAGATTGCTGTACACCAGCGGAACCCATCCAACTTGAAGGAGCTGGAGCAGTTTTGCCTTGAAGAATGGGCAAAAATCCCAGTGGCTGGATGTGCCAAGCTTATAGAGACATACCCCAAGAGATTTGCAGCTGTAATTGATGCAAAAGTTGGCTCTACAAAGTATTGACTTTGGGGGGGTGAATAGCCTGTACATTCATCTCCAGCTGCTTTACAGACAGCCTGTACATGAATCTTAAGCAGCTTTACAGACGGAATTTCATAGCAAACAAACTATATCGTCTTCTGTCTTTGACACACGTTGACCTTAACAGAGCCTGTGTCCCAAACGTCCCCCTATTCCCTGTATAGTGCACCAGCCCCCTGATCGAAGTAGTGCACTAAACAGGGAGTAGTGTCCCATGTGGGTTACAACAATAGAGTCTATCCCATGTGTTGGGCCTGCTGAGAGCACTCATTAAAGGAGGACTAGATAGCTGTTATTGTCCCATTATCTGAAGAGACAAATGTCCGATACTGTTATTGGATTCGCAAATTACACCCTATTCCTTGTATAGTGCACTACTTTTGACCACTTTTGATAGGGCTCTGGTCAAAAGTAGTTCACTAGCTATATATGGAATAAAGTGCCATTTGAGATGCAGCTTTGTGTGCTTTGGAAAAGCATAACAACCATATCTGGGCTCCCGAGTGGCGCAGCGGTCTAAGGCACTGAATCTCAGTGCTTGAGGCGTCACTACAGACTCCCTGGTTCGATTCCAGGCTGTATCACAACCGGCCGTGATAAAACTCAAGTTTGCATTTCCTGCTATGCAGGAAAATTGTGAGCAACATCTGTACAGGTTGTATTGTTTAGTTGCTATTAAGGCTCCTCTTGTCTTTGTAGCATGACAGGCTCCTCTTGTCTCTGTAGCATGACAGGCTCCTCTTGTCTCTGTAGCATGACAGGCTCCTCTTGTCTCTGTAGCATGACAGGCTCCTATTGTCCCTGTAGCATGACAGGCTCCTATTGTCTCTGTAGCTATTAAGGCTCCTCTTGTCTCTGTAGCATGACAGACTCCTCTTGTCCCTGTAGCATGACAGGCTCCTATTGTCTCTGTAGCATGACAGGCTCCTCTTGTCTCTGTAGCATGACAGGCTCCTCTTGTCTTTGTAGCATGACAGGCTCCTCTTGTCTCTGTAGCATGACAGGCTCCTATTGTCCCTGTAGCATGACAGGCTCCTCTTGTCTCTGTAGCATGACAGGCTCCTATTGTCCCTGTAGCATGACAGGCTCCTCTTGTCTCTGCAGCATGACAGGCTCCTCTTGTCTCTGTAGCATGACAGGCTCCTATTGTCTCTGTAGCTATTAAGGCTCCTCTTGTCCCTGTAGCATGACAGGCTCCTATTGTCTCTGTAGCATGACAGACTCCTCTTGTCCCTGTAGCATGACAGGCTCCTATTGTCTCTGTAGCATGACAGGCTCCTATTGTCTCTGCAGCATGACAGGCTCCTCTTGTCTCTGTAGCATGACAGGCTTCTCTTGTCCCTGTAGCATGACAGGCTCCTATTGTCTCTGTAGCATGACAGGCTCCTCTTGTCTCTGTAGCATGACAGGCTCCTCTTGTCTCTGTAGCATGACAGGCTCCTCTTGTCTCTGTAGCATGACAGGCTCCTATTGTCTCTGTAGCATGACAGGCTCCTCTTGTCTCTGCAGCATGACAGGCTCCTATTGTCTCTGTAGCATGACAGGCTCCTATTGTCTCTGTAGCATGACAGGCTCCTATTGTCTCTGTAGCATGACAGGCTCCTCTTGTCCCTGTAGCATGACAGGCTCCTCTTGTCTCTGCAGCATGACAGGCTCATATTGTCTCTGTAGCATGACAGGCTCCTATTGTCTCTGTAGCATGACAGGCTCCTATTGTCTCTGTAGCATGACAGGCTCCTCTTGTCTCTGTAGCATGACAGGCTCCTCTTGTCTCTGTAGCATGACAGGCTCCTATTGTCTCTGTAGCATGACAGGCTCCTCTTGTCTCTGTAGCATGACAGGCTCCTATTGTCCCTGTTGCATGACAGGCTCCTATTGTCCCTGTAGCATGACAGGCTCCTATTGTCTCTGCAGCATGACAGGCTCCTCTTGTCTCTGTAGCATGACAGGCTCCTATTGTCTCTGTAGCATGACAGGCTCCTCTTGTCTCTGTAGCATGACAGGCTCCTCTTGTCTCTGTAGCATGACAGGCTCCTCTTGTCTCTGCAGCATGACAGGCTCCTCTTGTCTCTGTAGCTATTAAGGCTCCTATTGTCTCTGTAGCATGACAGGCTCCTATTGTCTCTGCAGCATGACAGGCTCCTATTGTCCCTGTAGCATGACAGGCTCCTATTGTCTCTGCAGCATGACAGGCTCCTCTTGTCTCTGTAGCATGACAGGCTCCTATTGTCCCTGTAGCTATTAAGGCTCCTCTTGTCTCTGTAGCATGACAGGCTCCTCTTGTCTCTGTAGCATGACAGGCTCCTATTGTCCCTGTAGCATGACAGGCTCCTATTGTCCCTGTAGCATGGCAGGCTCCTATTGTCTCTGCAGCATGACAGGCTCCTCTTGTCTCTGTAGCATGACAGGCTCCTATTGTCCCTGTAGCATGACAGGCTCCTATTGTCCCTGTAGCATGACAGGCTCCTATTGTCCCTGTAGCATGACAGGCTCCTATTGTCCCTGTAGCATGACAGGCTCCTATTGTCTCTGTAGCATGACAGGCTCCTATTGTCCCTGTAGCATGACAGGCTCCTATTGTCTCTGTAGCATGACAGGCTCCTATTGTCCCTGTAGCATGACAGGCTCCTCTTGTCTCTGTAGCATGACAGGCTCCTCTTGTCTCTGTAGCATGACAGGCTCCTCTTGTCTCTATAGCATGACAGGCTCCTATTGTCTCTGTAGCATGACAGGCTCCTATTGTCTCTGTAGCATGACAGGCTCCTCTTGTCTCTGTAGCATGACAGGCTCCTCTTGTCTCTGTAGCATGACAGGCTCATCAGGAGTGTTGTGTTTCTCTGAGGCTGTCATCATCGGGTCCTCATTCAGAATATGAAGTATACATGTTTATTAAGGCCATGTTTTGTCATAAATTATATTGTTCAGTTGGTTTTAAGGACATGCTCCTCTTGTCTTTCAGGCAGACATTATTTATTTTTTAGCGTGACAGGCACATTTACAGACTTATTGTGTTTTGGGGGGGAATTCATCTATTAGTTGTCTCTGTTGTGGTTTTCAGTTTTAGTGGATGGTGTCATTCATCAACTGATGGGTTCAATCCCAAATGGCACCCTATTCCCTATATAGTGCACTACTTTTGACCAGAACCATTGTTTTTTAAAGAAACAAACGTTGATGAATTATAATAGTATGCTTCAGTCCTGAGATGTTGGAGGGAATGCCCGGACGTATTCAACGGTTTTTGTGATTCTTTAATTGTCAGACATTATTGTATTGTCTTTATTATGCCGATCCCTATTAGTTCATAGGCAGTAAGTAGACTCTTCCGGGGTTTATTATGGATCCCCATTAGTTCTGCCAGGCAGCAGTACTATTCCTGGGGTTTATTATGGATCCCATTAGTTCCGGAACGGCAGCAGCTACTCTTCCTGGGGTTCTATTTGGATCCCCATTAGTTTCCTGCACCAAGGCCAGCCAGCTACGCTTCCTGAGGGTTTATTAGGAGATCCCCATTAGTTCCTGCCAAAGGCAGCAGCTACTCTTCCTGGGGTTTATTATGGATCCCCATTAGTTCCTGCCAAGGCAGCAGCTACTCTTCCTGGGGTTTATTATGGATCCCCATTAGTTCCTGCCAAGGCAGCAGCTACTCTTCCTGGGGTTTATTATGGATCCCCATTAGTTCCTGCCAAGGCAGCAGCTACTCTTCCTGGGGTTTATTATGGTTCCCCATTAGTTCCTGCCAAGGCAGCAGCTACTCTTCCTGGGGTTTATTATGGTTCCCCATTAGTTCCTGCCAAGGCAGCAGCTACTCTTCCTGGGGTTTATTATGGATCCCCATTAGTTCCTGCCAAGGCAGCAGCTACTCTTCCTGGGGTTTATTATGGATCCCCATTAGTTCCTGCCAAGGCAGCAGCTACTCTTCCTGGGGTTTATTATGGATCCCCATTAGTTCCTGCCAAGGCAGCAGCTACTCTTCCTGGGGTTTATTATGGTTCCCCATTAGTTCCTGCCAAGGCAGCAGCTACTCTTCCTGGGGTTTATTATGGATCCCCATTAGTTCCTGCCAAGGCAGCAGCTACTCTTCCTGGGGTTTATTATGGATCCCCATTAGTTCCTGCCAAGGCAGCAGCTACTCTTCCTGGGGTTTATTATGGATCCCCATTAGTTCCTGCCAAGGCAGCAGCTACTCTTCCTGGGGTTTATTATGGATCCCCATTAGTTCCTGCCAAGGCATCAGCTACTCTTCCTGGGGTTTATTATGGATCCCCATTAGTTCCTGCCAAGGCAGCAGCTACTCTTCCTGGGGTTTATTATGGATCCCCATTAGTTCCTGCCAAGGCAGCAGCTACTCTTCCTGGGGTTTATTATGGATCCCCATTAGTTCCTGCCAAGGCAGCAGCTACTCTTCCTGGGGTTTATTATGGATCCCCATTAGTTCCTGCCAAGGCAGCAGCTACTCTTCCTGGGGTTTATTATGGATCCCCATTAGTTCCTGCCAAGGCAGCAGCTACTCTTCCTGGGGTTTATTAGGGATCCCCATTAGTTCCTGCCAAGGCAGCAGCTACTCTTCCTGGGGTTTATTATGGATCCCCATTAGTTCCTGCCAAGGCAGCAGCTACTCTTCCTGGGGTTTATTATGGATCCCCATTAGTTCCTGCCAAGGCAGCAGCTACTCTTCCTGGGGTTTATTATGGATCCCCATTAGTTCCTGCCAAGGCAGCAGCTACTCTTCCTGGGGTTTATTATGGATCCCCATTAGTTCCTGCCAAGGCAGCAGCTACTCTTCCTGGGGTTTATTATGGATCCCCATTAGTTCCTGCCAAGGCAGCAGCTACTCTTCCTGGGGTTTATTATGGATCCCCATTAGTTCCTGCCAAGGCAGCAGCTACTCTTCCTGGGGTTTATTATGGTTCCCCATTAGTTCCTGCCAAGGCAGCAGCTACTCTTCCTGGGGTTTATTATGGATCCCCATTAGTTCCTGCCAAGGCAGCAGCTACTCTTCCTGGGGTTTATTATGGATCCCCATTAGTTCCTGCCAAGGCAGCAGCTACTCTTCCTGGGGTTTATTATGGATCCCCATTAGTTCCTGCCAAGGCAGCAGCTACTCTTCCTGGGGTTTATTATGGATCCCCATTAGTTCCTGCCAAGGCATCAGCTACTCTTCCTGGGGTTTATTATGGTTCCCCATTAGTTCCTGCCAAGGCAGCAGCTACTCTTCCTGGGGTTTATTATGGATCCCCATTAGTTCCTGCCAAGGCAGCAGCTACTCTTCCTGGGGTTTATTATGGATCCCCATTAGTTCCTGCCAAGGCAGCAGCTACTCTTCCTGGGGTTTATTATGGATCCCCATTAGTTCCTGCCAAGGCAGCAGCTACTCTTCCTGGGGTTTATTATGGATCCCCATTAGTTCCTGCCAAGGCAGCAGCTACTCTTCCTGGGGTTTATTATGGATCCCCATTAGTTCCTGCCAAGGCATCAGCTACTCTTCCTGCGGTCCAAACATATTAAAGCACTTACATTACATATAAACCAAAATATAAAACAGTACATCATATGACATATTTACACCACTACCTATCTACAATACAAAATGTTTAATACCACCATACAACAATATCACAATTCTCTCTCTCCCTCCCTCTCTCTCCCTCTCCCCCCCCCCCCCTCTCCCTCTTTCTCTCTCTCCCTCTCTCTCTTTCTCTCTCTCTGTCTCTCTTTCTCTCTCTCTATCTTGTCTATTTATTTTGTAGTTTCTGCCTAGGGTTAAGTTAGTTAGTTAGTTAGACAGTCATTGTGTTGCCATAAAAACCTGATTTGAGTGTGATGGACATTGAATGCTAAATTTCGTAATTTATGCTTCAGGCTGTCTAACTCCTCTCTCTCCTTCCCTCACTTTTTGCAGAACAAGCCAATGATGACGGTGATATATAAATATGAGTTGATTGTGATGGACATTGAATACTAAAACGATAATCTACTGACAGTTAACTGAACAATAAATCATTATTCAGAGGCACGCTGGGCAACTTTCACTGTGTTAGCATTGTTAATAGCCTTCTGTAATTGGTATGCACGCTGTGGTGCCCAACCAATCACTGTCAGACAGGAACCACTCTCTCTTGGTCCTGTGTTTCCCCAGGGGCAGCATCCTTACTGCACAGCCCTATCGTGGTAAATATGGCTTTAAGGAAAGCTATTTAGTTCAGATGACACTTAGGCTTAATAGTCCCCGCTGGTTAAGTGAATTGGGAGTACGTCCCAAACATTCCAAATAACACCCTATTCCCTTTATAGTGCACTACTGTTGACCAGGGCCCACAGGTCTATGTGCCCTGGTCTAAAGTAGTGCACTATATCAGAGGAGGCTGCTGAGGGGAGGACGGCTCATAGTCATGTCTGGAATGGGAGTAAATGGAATGGTATGAAACACATATAAACCATGTGTTGGATGTGTTCAATATTATTCCATTAATTCCGTTCCAGCCGTTACTATGAGCCGTCCTCCCCAATTAAGGGAGCGTTGGAATGATATCACAAACAACAGGAAGCAGCAACACAATGGGACAGTGGAGATGTTAGAGGCATGGGGTAAACAGAAATATTCTCAAACTGATATTTGAAATGGAATCTAGTTTACTGTTATACACACAATAGGAGGGCATGTTTGTATGCAGATATTTATGAGAGAGATGCATTTATGAAATAATTATAAAAATAGATGTTTGTTGCTGCTACACTGAAGCAGGCCATTTAGAGCTGCTCCTCAGTGTTGTTGCTGTTATAAAGGATTAGAGCTAACAATGGTAACAATGGTAACAATGGTAACAATGGTAACAATGGTGACAATGGTGACAATGGTGGCAATGGTGGCAGTGGTGACAATGGTGACAATGGTGGCAGTGGTGGCAGTGGTAACAGTGGTGACAATGGTGACAATGGTGGCAGTGGTAACCATGGTAACAGTGGTGACAATTGCGACAGTGGTAACACCGATGACAATGGTGGCAGTGGTAACAATGGTGACAGTGGTGACACTGGTGACATTGGTAACAATGGTAACAATGGTAGCAATGGTAATAATGGTAACAATGGTACGAAAGAGAGAAGATCTTAGTAATAACAGATGATATTGCCACTCCTATTTGCCATATTTTCAATTTAAGCCTACAAGAATGTGTGTTCCCCCAGGCACATTCCGCTACTTAAGAATAGTAAAGCCCCCTTTACTGGCTCAAAGAGCCGACCAATCAGCCTGTTACCAACCCTTAGTAAACTATTGGGAAAAAATGTGTTTGACCAGATACAATGCTTTTTTACTGTAAACAAATTGACAACAAACGTTCAGCATGCTTATAGAGAAGGACATTCAACAAGCACAGCACTTACACTAATTACTGATGATTGGCTGAGAGAAATTGATGATAAAAAGATTGTGGGTACCAGGTCATCACCACCACACACCACTGGTAATACCCCAGAGACCTTAGTACTGGTACCAGGTCATCACCACCACCCACCACTGGTAATACCCCAGAGACCTTAGTACTGGTACCAATAGGTCGATCCACACCACTGGTTAATAACCCCAGAGATCCTTAGTAACGGGTACCCGAGGTTATCCAACCACCACGGGTAATTACCCCATTAGACCTTAGTACTGGTACCAGGTCATCACCACCACTGGTAATACCCCAGAGACCTTAGTACTGGTACCAGGTCATCACCACCACTGGTAATACCCCAGAGACCTTAGTACTGGTACCAGGTCATCACCACCACTGGTAATACCCCAGAGACCTTAGTACTGGTACCAGGTCAA